GACATCGGGAATTCGCTTTATTAGTCCGGCCTCGTGTAATTCGTCGAAAATCGAAATTATTTCGTTTGAAACGCTTGTATTGCCAGCTGCTTTTGACGCGAGAAGCAGACGTAATCGGTCGACCAACTCGTTTGGATTATCCCAATACACTAAGTTATTTTTCTGTAATTTCATAGACAGCTCGCCACCCGAGGGGAATAATTTACTAATAATTGTTGAATATTTAGTACCACCCTTTTTTATTTTATTCCCAACTGTAGATAAATGTACCGATGTTTGAGTTAATATAGATTTATATACCTCTAAATCACCATCAGTAAAAATAAGTGGATTTTTTAAAAATAATAACTGATTAAGACCCGACGTAGATGGGTAAACAGTACCGTCAATAAGTATAGTGTTTTCTATAAATTTTACTTATTTTTTACCCAAGATAATATGGCCGTTTGGAAGTTTTTTCGGACCATAGATTTTATCCAAGTCTGTAGACTGAAACCAATTTTCAATTTCTTGTTGATTGTAGTCCAAAATCGAGGATTTATTGTCAATATTTTCTTTGTTCAATCGAGGTTTATTCGATATTTTAGTTAAAGGATCGATAATTGGTTTTAATGTCTGTGTCATTAATTGTTGAACATTATCAGAACCGGTTTTTAATGCGATATATTTACGTTTAATACTTTCCTTAGCTTTAACTAGCTCATCTAACACAGTAGTTGCTTCCGTCATGACTACGTTTTAAATGATAATATTTATTAGTTGCTTCATCTTATATAACTACAAAAGTATCAAACCCAAAACGATAACGTCCGTTATCACGCTCACTATCTTTGCAAATAACAACAAATGTAAACCTCTCAAGGTTCCAACATGTTACACAGAAATGTTTAAATTGTGTATATGACATGTCCCCAGAACAGTGCTCTTGATATACATGTTTCAAATTGGTCTCATCTTGTTTGAACAATACTATTAAATTCGCGTTGTCACGTATCAACTGTTTTGGTACTTTTGAATAACTCTGGGCCAGATAAAAAATATCTATTTTATTGTGGCGACCTCGAGAAAAATAATCTCTTATTACGTTTTGGTGTTCACCAATAACATCGTCCAAGATAAAAATTGAATTTGGTAAAACTTTCTCTGGTGGAATTACTTTATCATTCTCGAAAAAGGTATAAATGTTCATACCGTCTATTCCATCAATAATACGTTTTAATAATTTATATTTAGGTTGTTCCAGCGTCTTGGAGTATATGTAAACGTTTTCAAATCGTAACCCGTTTTCATCGACTAGTAGAAAATATATCAGATTGGTCTTACCACACCCTGAGCTGCCAAGTACCAACGACCTTATCGTATTTGGGAAAAGCTCTCCATGTCTCTGTTGAATTGTCTTGGGAGAATCAATATTATAAATTCGAAGTTTTTTCTCTTGTTCGATAAAGCGCATTTTTTTAAAAAAATTTTTCACTATAAATATAGGTGCTATGTTAGCGATAGCGTCACACGATGTCTCACGTTCGTAAGCGAAACAACAATAAAGGCTCCGGTCTTATTAACTCTGTTATAAATCATTTACCCGTGGAATTACATTTACCTGGTTATAGGTAAGTCGCTACAATATATTATGACTAATAAATCCGTTTTAAATTGTATGTATAATTGTTTATAGATTTGCCGGTCCCGGAACCAAATTGAAACAAAGATTAGCACGAGGATAACGTGGTATAAACAGACTTGACGAGTTGGCCAGAGCGTACGATATCGCATACGAAGAAAGTAATTCGCTAACTGATCGACATAGAGCAGACGAAGTATTAGAAAATCAGGCTTGGGAAGTGTTTAAATCTAAAAACACAGGTATCAAGGAAAAAGCGGCGTCTTGGCTAGTCACTACAGCCATGAAAGTCAAACGTAAGTTTGGAGCTGGTTGCGGATTTAAACAAATGGTTATGGCTGCTAAAAATTCCATCAAAAATAAAATGAACGAAAATAATATAACAAAATTAGTAAGAACATGTCTGTCAGCTGCGAAAAAAATTAATAAGAATAAAAATAAGAAAACTAAAACTCCAAGAATTATACCAATACCGAAAAAAGGTGGTGTTCTACCTTTAATTCCTATTTTTGCTGGTTTATCAGCATTAGGCGCGCTTACCGGTGGAGTAGGTAATATAGTAAAAGTCGTGAAAGAATTAAATTCTGGAAAAAGCACTCCTATTCATTTAGGCAAATGATTATATCTTACTCCTCACAAGGGTAATTCTTATAAAATCGTAAAAGGTAAAGGTTTATACCTAGCACCACACAAGGGCGGTTCGGTTAAGAAATCAAGGTCAAAAAACTGATTTCTACGTTACCCGATAGAGCGTTGTACGATTATGAGATTATAAAATACGCTGACATGTTGAAAATTCCTCATTTCATCGGTGTATTTGCTAGAGACAAGTTACCTCGACGAGCAAAACATCAAGAGTCAGCTGTAGTTAATTTAGACATCGAAAACGGTACAGGTACTCATTGGGTAGCGTATAAGAAAATCGGAAAAAAAGTTAAATATTATGATAGTTATGGAAATTTAACGCCACCGCTAGAATTACAGAAATATTCCAACGGTTGCAATATCGAATATAACTACGAGAGACATCAGAAATATAACACAACAAACTGTGGTCATCTGTGCTTAAAATTGTTATCATGTACACTATAACGTTAACCGGTAACTCTAGCGAATTGTCATGTGACTTTTTTCCACCGATAGAAGTCAGTAAAAATGCAAAAATCTGTCTGTTAGGTTTTCAAACGAATAATTCTATTCCTAACGTAAACGAAAAGTGTAATAAAATATGCTTCACATACAGTAATGATAACAATATGAATAGCGACAGCTATGCAATACCTACCGGCTCTTATGAGTTGAATGAAATTGAAGCAGCTATAAAACGTGTATTACATAATACAGATACTTTATTCGAGTTGAGAGCAGATAATCATACACTAAAATGTACAATGTTTTGTAGTGAAACTGTAGATTTTCGTATGACTAATAGTATAGGACAGTTGTTGGGGTTCAAAAATCGTAAATATGCTGCTAATGTCAAACACGAATCAGATACGTTGGTCAATATTACCAAAACAAACTGTATATATATCGATTCAAATCTAGTTATGGGTTCATTCGTCAACGGTAAGCAGTGCCATACAATCCACGAGTTCTATCCGAATGTTCCTCCAGGCTATAAAATAATAGAGGTACCAACACATTTGGTTTTTTACTCCATTAATTCTACATCTATAACACACGCAAGTATAATTTTAAAAAATCAGGACGACGAGTTGATCGATCTACGGGGCGAACCGGTATCAATCCGATTATTAATTCAAGACTCGTGATGGGGCTTCAATTTTACAATATAAATAGGGCTGTATATGAAAAACCCGTTAGTCGTGTTAATAACACTAACAAGGTAACAACTCCGAAGAAGAAAAAATATTCGAGACGAAAACAGACTAAACATAGTCTAACACCTGATAATTTGGCTTTTCTACGCTCGATTAACGTCATTTAATATGGACAAAACATATTTAGACGTCACGGCTGGATACATCGACGATTGTAAAATAACACAAATTGATTATCATTCTTTTTTACCGTATTCAACATCAGCTCTTTCTAATAATGATGAGGTGCGTATTGCTTTACATAACACAGAGTCTTATACTTTACCGTGCGAGAGTTATATTTACATCGAGGGAACAATAACCAAACCTACAGAAATAACTGACGAGATTAGATTTATAAACAACGGACTGGCATTTCTTTTCTCCGAAATGAAATATGAAATAAACGGAAATCAAATTCAGAAACTCGTCAATCCGGGTATATCGACCACATTAAAAGGATATTGCTCGTACAATAAAACAAATATTTCCTCACACCAAAACGCTGCCTGGGATAGTGATTTTAAAAATGTTAATAAAGATTTTATTGATAGCGGTAATTTTAACGGATGTATTAATCTTAAACATTTGTTTGGTTTTTGCGAAGATTATAAACGCATTTTAATAAACTGTAGCCAGCAACTCATATTAAATAGAGCTTCGATTGATATGAATGCCATCAAACAGTATAAAAATAATGAAGCTGTCGTAGACGCTCCTAAACTAAAAGACGCTAAAATAAACATAACAAAAATATTGTGGCGGATGCCTATAGTGAGAGTTAGCGATAGAGAAAAAATTCGACTGTTGAAAGTAGTCAACAGTCAAAAACCCCTGACATGTACGTTCAGATCGTGGGAACTGTGTGAATACCCATTTTTACCTCAAAACACTTCACATTCGTGGAAAGTAAAGACATCCAACAAGTTGGAAAAACCTCGATATGTTATAATCGGATTTCAAACTGATAGGAAAAATAGCACAAGTAAAGCAATGCCATACTTCGATCATTGTAAAATTAAAAACTTGAAAGTCTATTTAAACTCCGAAGTATTTCCATATGAAGATTTTCAAAGTGACTTTAACAAGAATAATATGGCGACATTAGCTGGATTTAGACGGAGATGATTAAGCAGAGTTTTGGAACGTGCCGGTCCATCCCGTGTAATATTGGAGAGGATGGAACGAGGCGTTCCATCATCTGGTATTTAAAAATTAACCAAATGACTATCACGCGTGATAGGACCGCACAAGATTTTTCCACACGATTGATTGTACATGACAATCATTTGCTAATTTTAACTACCAAATGATATCACTCGCGATGGAACGAGCATTTGTAACGTGAAAGGACAAAACTGTCCATGTGAATGAGGTTTACACATGATTATATAAATGATCGAGTGTCCTCCAGTCATTTTAAAAATTAGACCACTTTCCTCTGAAAATTCAACTGAGCACGTGCGTTTATTTTATATACGTATGCGTTATTATATTTTTTTACTCAAATTAAGCTGTTCGAGTGTAGACTGTAGAGAGAAATATAATAGTTTATAATGTCATCTATAAGAAGAAAGAAAACAGTGCTAGGATATGCCGGTGTTTATTATCTTTACATGAACATGTTGAAAGCCCGAACTCCGAGATCAGTATGGATGAAAAATTGGATGTCGGATAAAACCAAATTCGGGCACTTACCATTACTCCAAGAACTAAGAACTAATAATCCAGAAGACTTCATAAACTATTTGAGGATTGATGGTACTACATTTGATCACTTACTGAGTATGTTGTTAAGATAACTATATGGTTTTTATTTTATCATCCAAAATTTTGTTTTAACAACTAAAATGTACACCTAGGTTTAATTGGGCCACTTATACAAAAAGAAGATACTGTTATGAGGGAATGCATACCACCAGAACAACGATTATTAGCAACTCTAACGTATCTTGCCTCTGGTATGTCGTACCAGAGATTAAAATTTTCAACTGCTATTTCTGCACCCAGCCTTTGTGAAATTATACCAGAAACTTGTGCTGCACTGTATCAAGTATTAAAAAAGGATTATTTAACTGTAAGTAATATATTATAACTATTTAGATTTTTTTATTACTAAGATGTGTGTCCATACGATGCAACTATCATTAATGCAATTTAAAAAAGATATATTTCATTGCATTAGTTTCCACAGTAAGTAACTATTATATTAGTTTGAATAACTTTTAACTGGTCCAATAGTTCGAGAGATTGGCTTGATTATTTTCATACAAGTTATCTGGTAGTGCTTAGTTGACATGTTTAAAAAGGTATCATAATATATTTTCTTTTATCTTTATTTACAAAAAGTATTTTATTCTAGTGAACAAATAAATAGCTAAAACATAAAAAATAATTATTTAAACACATTTTATAATTCTGTTTTTTATTTAAATTCAAAACTAATAAAAGTAATAGTATAAAATATTCTGAAATATGTTGAATAAACAGCTTGGTAAATTAAAAATTAAAAACAACTGACAAAGATACTTTGTAAAAGTAAATTATAATAATTTCAACAGATAACATTAGATTGCCATATTATGACTGTATGTTACAAAATTAAAATAAATAAATTATTAACCATATAATAATTAAAACTTGTATTCAAATATTAATATAAATTAATTAAAACAGCTTGTTAAATTAAAAAACTAAAAACAATTGAGAAAGGAACTTTCATGTAAGTAAATGATAATACATTTGGATTTCCATATTATAGCTATATTATGATAATAATAATATGTTACCATATAAACAAATTTAAAAAAATATAATAATGAAAACTAATCACAGTTTAGGTGTATATGAGTAAACAAAAAATAACATAAATCAATCAAAACAACTTGTTAAATTAAAAATAATCATTCAGGGAACTTTCCATTACTAAATACTAAAGTGTTAAACAAAATATTCCATGCTATTTTATAATGTTAAAACAGAACTGTCATTTTCAGAATTATTGATGCCAGACTCATCATCAACACTATTAAATATAGTATAGCTCGGATAGGGGAATCTATGGGTATCGTTAGATAAAGATGTATCATGGTTAACTACAGGGGATATAAAAGGATAAGTATAGCCTAAGGTTGAGTTGGCTGTAGTGTTGGATTGAGCAGTATAAGAATTAATGGTAGACGGCGGTATCACACTACTTGGTGCATGGCTATGTGTATAATCTGTCAAACAAACAAATAGTAAATATTACATTGTATAATATTCAGTAAACAATTATTAACAAGTTAAATTAAAGATATTTTCTGTAATAAAATATATTACATGTCTATATAAAATATATAGTAGGTATTATAAAAAATATCTGTTTTTAAATTCAATAAAAAATTAATTTTTACCAATGGAATTTTGCTCTCCAATGACAATATCAGGAGTTAAATTATTTGACAGTCCTTTGGATAGTATAGAGTTAATCAAAGGTTCTGCCATCAGATACTGGGTTTCACTCATTTTCCGCACCTTGGCAGCAACACAAATACCAAAAGCCTCAAACTGGTCTATATCTTTGCAACCCTGAATAGCTTGTGTAATAGTTTTCATAAACAATTTACTTTCATCCTTCTTTCTCTTCTTTTGTGTTTCTTTAACAGCAAAATAGGGTGAAGGCATGGTTGAAGTTTTCTAAAATATATGTATTATTATATCAATTAAGAAGATGTGTAAAAACTTGTTTTTATTCAATAATTAAAACTACCTATTAAATTGTTTCATAATAATATCAATATAAAAAACATAAATGAATCACCAGGTTATATCTTTGAATATTTTTTGTTATTTTAGTTTCCAAAAACTAAGGATGAATGGAAAGAAATTAGTAATGGATTTAAGAATCGCTGGCAAGTTATAAACTGTGGAGGTGCTCTTGATGGGAAACATGTAAGGTTAATACCACCAAAAGATTCTGGAGCCCATTACTATAATTATAAGGGATTTTATAGTATGGTTTTAATGGCATTGGTAAACTCAAATTATGAGTTTATATTTGTTGATGTTGGTAAAAATGGTAGGTGTTCTGATGGGGGAGTCATCGAACACACAAAATTCTACCAAAAATTGAGGAATGGGACACTTAATTTGCCTGAAAACGATGATACTGATGAAAATTTAAATTTTACATTTTTGGCTGATGATGCATTTGCTCTACACAACCATGTACTGAAACCGTATCCAGGTAGCAATACTTCACACGAAGAAAGAATTTTCAATTATAGACTTTCGAGAGGGAGAAATGTAGTTGAAAACACATTTGGACTTTTAGCAAGTAGATTTAGAGTTTTGCACACAGCCATACACATGTCACCAGATAAAATTAAGTTGGTTGTTTTGGCAATTTGTGCATTGCATAATTTTTTAAGAAGAACTAGTACCTCTTATGCATCAAACATAACATTTGATAAAGAAGACACAAACACTCATGAAATAATTACAAATGGAGACTGGAGAAATAAAGCAGTTAATATTCTAGAAATCCAACAAATAACACAACGTAATGCCCCTGCTAACGCAAAAGACAACAGAAATAATTACAAACTGTTTTATAACGGAGAAGGAAAAGTTGATTGGCAGGAAGAAATGCTCCAAAAAGGAAAGGCATAATCAATAATATTTAAGAATACAATAGAGAATTCAATATAACTTATAATAAGATTAACATATTACCTAATAGTATACTAAGCTTATGTATACCTATACTTAACTTAATATTATTAATATGTAACTTTAAATTTAAATTAAAAATTAATATCTATTTCTATATATTTTTAACTTTTTTATGACTTGTGTATTAGTAACCTATTTGGTAACTGGCTGTTCCTTTTCCATCATTATTATAGTTAACAAAAAGGGTAAGATCATATTAAAATCATCATAAAGTAATCAATCAGAATCTGAATATTATTGAGTCAGGAATACTAATCAGGTACCAAGTATTGTAGTATAATAACACATATTTTACAGGTAGGTACTTGAACTTCCATTGATTATTATTTGAATTATGAATATTTATGATTATAAATAATATTATTTTTAATAGTGGTTACTACCTACCCATATCTTAATAAATATTAAATAAAAATGAATTTACTATGATGTGACTAATAATAGGTATTCTAATAATATCTATTATAATCTATTTACATTAGTTTTATAGGTATAATAAGTAGGTATTAAATTAAAAAACATACCTCAACTGTAGTTAAATTTTCATCATGAATCTTTTCATTAATATTTTCACTCAATTCATTTTCTTGGACATTTTCTGAGGCGGAGAAGTCATTTTCTTTATCACTTATATTAGAAGAACTTTCCTCTGGCATTTCTTGTTCTTTAGTGAATATAAGTTGGTTATAGTACCATAACGATGGAATATGAACAGTATCAGCCGATGAACCACTTTTATTTTTAGTTTCATAGCATTTGTTGAACTCTTTTCTGAATGACCCACGTAAGCTTTGGATTCTGCTTACGATCCATGCCCTATTTGCTTCTGGGTAGACTGTTTTTGAAAAGTCTGTCAGCCGATCGTAAGCAATGGTTTTGAGATTTCTGTTTGTGTACACTTTTCTGTCTTTTATTTTCTATAGACATGGTTCCTCGCGATAAATGTTTATAAATTCTGTTAAAAATTCTTTTGTCCAGTTCCTAATGTCTGACATTATTACTATATAGTGATCACCAAATCAATCAAAATAAAAATTACACTGAAAACCCACTTTATTATTCCTAACTTACTTAATTAATATAAGCAAATACTTTACTTTATCATGAGCGATAAACGATATACGATAAACGATAAACGAACTAACAAAGTCTGAGTCATGAAGAATCAAAAGAATTCAAGACATACCTTGATTCTAGAATAATAATCTTTGTCCACAGACCTGTGATGAAGATAGTAATTAGTATTATAACATAATTATTTTGATAATAATTATAAATAATAATATAATATTTAATTATACATTATCAGCATTATCCACTATACATCAACGAATTGGCGGGAAATACATATTTGATAACAACACAATTGCGGGAAATGTATTGATAATACCATAGAACAATATATATTATCATTAATATTATATCATTAATTAATATTAATTGTATATATTTTAATCAATGATATTACATAGGCCCATCGAGGTAAATAAACTATACTATAGTATATAGGCATATAGCTTATATCAAGGTGGATATATATATATACAAGGCTGGGCAAGTTATTGTTTTTTTTAACTCGTTAAGTTAAGTTATTTTAAAATAATTAAGTTAAGTTAAGTTAAAATTTACTCGTATTTTTTATCGTTAACTCGTTAAGTTAAAAGTTAATTTGAAAAAAAAAGTAACTTAACTTAGTGTAAAGTTAAAATTTGCTAATTTGCAAAAATAGAAAATTCCAGACACATAATGTGGTTTATTAGATAGTTTTTCTTTACGTCTAAGAAAATTACTGGGGAAATTTAAAATGATACATCAAAGTAAAAACACATTAAAAAATTTACATTATTCTTCGGAAGAAAATTAACTTAATTTAGATATTTTTGAAATAAAATTAACTTGAAGTTAACACGTTAATCTTGAAAAAAAGTAACTTGTTAAGTTAAAAGTTAATTTGAAAAAAAAAGTAACGAGTTACTTAACTTAATTAAAATTAACTTAACGTTTTAACTTAATTTTAATTTTTAACTCGTTAATGCCCAGCCTTGTATATATATAATATATATCCACCTTGGCTTATATACCTCGATGCATAGGCCATAGCACAGATAATAATAATCTTTATTATCTATGGGCCACAGGGTTCTTTTTTTAGTGTACCTACACAGTACACGATAAGTATTTTTTCAGTTCAATAAAATTTCAAAATACCAACTGGCAACCAGTTTGCAGTAATATATTAATAGGTATTATAACTAAATGGCACTTATAGATCATTTTTACCTATTAATCACAAGCAGCTTCCGTTACGACTCTAAGGGGTGTACTCATTTTAGAATTTCCAGAGCATCCCCTAATAAGAAAACCTAGAAACTTTTTTTA